GTGCACTTGAAGGGGCCTTCAGAAGTCAGAGAACCCGTAAGTTTTGGAGTGTCAGGCCCCCGGGCGTGATCCCAATCTGCAGTGCCAGGAGTGAACACTGGGCAAGTACTTCGGCAGCAAGGATGAACATCAACCGAGCCGACAACCGTTACGGCGGCGCGGGCGAGAACTGGTACTACCGCGCAATGCCCGGCCAGGCGGCCACGGAAATGCACTACGCCACATGTGGCATGATGAGCACGACGACGCCGACCTCTGAGCTGGTGCTGATGCACGATGCTTTCGGATGGGCAGAAAGGCCTGGTTTTATGAATGTGCCAGCGGCCGCTCCCGCGTCTCCTTTGCCCCCGAGCAATGATGTTAAAAACATCATGGCCAATATGGCCCTCCTACGGGGCATGGGGCCGGAGCAAGCGGCCAGAATCTTAAAGGCTACAGCGGCCATGCAGGGACCCTATGAAGATTGAGGAGCGGCGAGCTCCGTACACAAACGTCGGAACCCTTTGTGGTATCATGGATTTGCGCAGTAATAGTTCAGCGAGACAACTTGACAAAGGACGAAATCCACGAAGCGTTGGTGGCCCGACCGGGCCTTGCATGTTGCTAGTGAAAGGAGCGCACAGGCGTCTGCCACAGGTTTTTGCATCCTTTGGAGTTCTTCTCGTGTGCTATCTTTATTGCAGGTAGATCCGTAACTACCAACTTGAGCCACACCACGGCCCGGTTGTCTATAGTTAGTTACGAAACCAGAGAAGCGATGAACCAGCTAAGCAACGTGAAAGTTGAGCGTGCTGTTACGAACCAATCCCCACCAGGAGCCCCGAAGACCACAATCCCACCACGTCTGCGAGAGGCTGGTTTGTCTTCCGAAGAATTCAACATCGAGGAGTCTCCCAGCACGCCCTTTCGGGCCTCGGGTTTGCGTGGGTCCCACGGGTAAGGGTTGTAGGGATCTGTTTTGGGGGGAGAGAGATGTCGGACATTTTCGCAGGCTGTCAGGGTGTGTTGAGGGTTCATTTCGCAAAACGTACCGTCATAGAAGGGCCATTTCACCAACGACACACGCCAAGCAACCCTTCGTTCAGCTCCTAAACTTTTGAGCGAATCCCGGAATCCCAGACCACATCATCCGATAAACGTCCGATTCCCTCAGCAATTTTGACAGAGATCGGCGACGTCATCATGGACGTGATCGCCATCACGGTCAACATCATGCGAGTAGCAATAGCACTGGCAATACCGATGGACAGACATAGAACTAGCAGTAGTCGCAGTCATCGTAAGGCCAGAAAGCCTCGTACAATGCATAGTGGTATCAACTTTAGCTAGGCATATGACCGCGATCAGTGTCATCATCGCCAGTGTCGCCGTCTTCACCACCATCATCAGTATGGCAGCATGGCGGCCATCATCCCTGTTGTCGTCACTGTCGGCGTCATTCTCACCATCACCTTCTGTTCATTAGCCTCCTCCTCCTCCTCCTCTTCCTCCCCGTCCTCATCACTATCAGTCATGCCATGCTGACGATTATGGTGGCCCTCAGACGCCGAAGCGCGAAACTGCGAGGACATCCACCGCGTCGGCCAAAAGGTTCCTTTGCTGGGGAATCTGTCGCCACACGGAAGGCCGCCTCCGGTTCAGTCATCGCCAACCGAGACTTGTGGAATTTCCCGCAGGAGTTGGTTGCAAATGCCCTGGCCATCACTATTAAGATTCGTGGTTTTTTAATGCTTGGGTCCCAGGTGTTAGGCTGCAGCTGGAGTGGTTTGGAACTTCCGGTGAGGGGACTGGGGTCGAAGGTTGAAGCTGCGCATTCTGGGGTTGGAGCAATACACGGAGCAGGATGAACGTTCGGAGTGTGTGTGTGTGTGCTATGCTGGGCAGGTACCACATGAGTGACCTTGACAAGATCGGGGGCGTGCCGGTGGTTCTCCGGGAGCCATCATTGGCGTAGAGCTTCAAGTCCGTTTCTTCGAGCTGTTCATCCACAGAATAAAATGTAGTATTGATGTTCTGTCCTGCACTGCAGTATACTTTGCTATTTTGCAAGCCTTTCTATTGTATCCGTATATTACAATACAGTGTCTAAAGCCATTTTGAGGAGTTGATGGACGCTGGTCTGCTGCACGGCCACTGCATGACGGTCACTGGAAGGCTTGCAGCAGAACCTTCGTCTGTAGGAGCCTTTGAGGCGTCTAAGGGCCTTGCCAGGGCTTTTGTTTGTTGAAGATTTTTGGAGTCGATGGTAAACCCTAAACCCTAAACCCTAATCTACTATAATACAGTATAGATTATAGGAAGATAACAACGTTCCTTGTTTTGCTTTATTTATTCCGTTGAGGAAAGGCCTCCCTGCCTCTGAGTTTTGAAGCGTTTGCTCCTTCCCATAGTTAGGGTTTAGGGTGTGGGTCCAAAGAACTGCTGGAAGCAGCGCCAGACACGACGGCGGATCGTCGAGCAGCCTAGCAATGGTGACTGCAAACCCGGAGTACGGTACTAAACATGGGAGCCGCCCAAGTTTGCTTTGGACAATTTCGACATGATCTTCACTCGCCGACCCCTGGTGCTGCGAACTTTGCAGATAAACCGACAGCCAGAATGATAGTGATAGTCAACATACCTACAGAAAGCATAATGATAGCAGCTGGTAATAAAGCTAGTATTTAGATAGCCAGTTAACGGCTTGGGTCAGCCACCCTTTACAGTAACCGCCTTAAACCTGAAGTCGTACCTAAACCTCGGGCATTGAACCCGAAGCCTTAAAGCCCTTAACGGATCGCAGTGTGAAGGACCGGAAGCCTTGAACACTGGGTTCTTGTCCAGGAGTTTCATCCAAGTTGCCATACCCATGTGGCTTTAGGAGGTTTTGCGAAGGCTTTTTCTGTTGCCGTCAGCGCCATTATTGGGGTCGCCTGATGTATCCGAAAAGTACACCCCATCGGACCCCCAAATCGTACCTCGGTCTGGAGCCTAGCTAAACCAAAAACCCCCCATAAGGCAACCGAAGCTGTCAGACATACTGCAGGGACCTTAGTAAGGGCATACTCTTACATATTCGTCCGACTCGATGTTACGTAGCCCCTAAGCCCTAAACTCGTATAGCTAATACACCCTCAACTTCTTAAGCCCTAAACCTTAAACCCTATATAAACTCCCACAGTACCCTCACCTTC